TGGCCCCTCTGACCCTGTTGTCCCCAGGGCTGGTGGCCATGGCAGCAGGTGTGACAGACATCAGCACCTACCACACCATCTTCCTCCTCACCATCCTGGGTGCCCTGGCCCTGCTCGTGCTCATCCTCCTCTGCCTCCTCATCTACTACTGCAGGTCAGCCCCCTCAGAGCACACCCCTACCCCACATTCCAGGTGGGAACGGTGGGGAACCCCTGGGTGCCCCGTAGCTGGGGGCAAGCATTCCTTGGCACCCTGTAACTGGTGGGAGGGCGAGTACCCCCTCTTGGAACCCCTAAATGCCCTATAGTGGGTTATGAGGAGGGGGCACCAGCCAGTGGAACTCCCTGGTGCCCTTTAGCAGGATTTGGARGGAGGGCACTGGTCCCTTGGCACCCCTAGTTGCCCTGCAGCTGGATGTAGGGGGGAACACATTACTCCCCAACACCCCTGGATACCCTATAGCTGGATTTGGGGTGGACACACCATCCCCCACCCCCCTGGATAACCTATAGCTGGATTTGGGGTGGGCACACCATTCCCTTCCCCCCTGGATATCCTATAGCTGGATTTGGGGTGGACACACCATTCCCTCCCCCCCTGGGTACCCTATAGCTGTATTTGGAGTGGGCACACTGTTCCTCAACCCCTGGGTACCCTATAGCTGGATTTGGGGTGGACACACCATTCCCTTCCCCCCTGGATACCCTATAGCTGGATTTGGGGTGGACACACCGTTACCCACCCCCCTGGATACCCTATAGCTGGGTTTGGGGTGGACACACCGTTACCCACCCCCCTGGATACCCTATAGCTGGGTTTGGGGTGTACACACCATTCCTCACCCCCCTGGATACTCTATAGCTGGATTTGGGGTGGGCACACCATTCCCTTCCCCCCTGGGTACCCTGTAGCTGGATTTGGGGTGGACACACCGTTCCTAGAGCCCCCTCCCCTAGCTCACCCCAGCAGGCGAGGCTGGGGGGAGCTGGGGTACCCCCGTCCCACGCGGCCCCGTGTCCCCGCAGGCGGCGCTGCCTGAAGCCGCGGGCTCAGCACCGCAAGCTGCCGCTGCCGGGGCCGCTGGACGCGGCGCGCCGGGACCAGGCCACCTCGGTGTCGCAGCTGGACCTCCTGTGCGGGGGCAGCCACCTGGAGACCGCCTCCTCGGGGGGCGACACCGACCTGCCCACCCCCAGCCTGCCCCCCTCCACCCGCGAGCTGACC